TGTAGACTGAAAAGGCATTTCTGTGCATGCGGAAGCCCAGGAGCCAGAGCACCACCGCATTCCCTGCCAGCCCCACTAGGGCCACGATGGCTGTCAGTATTTTCAGGATTATTTTCCATGTATAATGGAGATAAAATTTCTGGTCACTTCCATAGGTTGTTGTCCCAGGCTGTGATAGTCATATCCATGTTCAAAAATGCTGCAGTTGTGGGCCTGAAACAAAACAAGACTTGAGCACCTGCTCTATGACTACTGACCTTTATGACCATCTTGTCTGTGGCGAATGGAGATTGCAGAGATCATAAATTGAAATTCTTAAAAATATTTGTCTACCACCACCCTGAAAAATAATGTACATTCCATCCTTAAGGCATTTATGATGAGAGATATTTTCTCTAAGATGTGATACCCAGGATTGGCGGTGGCAACATTTCAGATAAATAAGATGTAAGAACAAGTCCATCTAATCACAGTGAGAGAGAAAAAGTCCTTGGAAAAAGGACCAATGAAGAAAAATGGATTCTCTTTATTTGATGTTAAATTTCATTTTTCAGCATCTCTATGCTCTGCTGCATCCTGGGGGACACATGTCTTTGCCTCACCACTGGGCTCCCTTTCCCTCTGCCTCCTAATTTCTTTGAAGAAAAGTGACACTGACAGCTGATTGGAGGGCAGGAGGAGGGTGACTGAGGTTTAACTCCCTACATCTCTGCTGAGAGGCTGTGAACTTGTCATGGTGGTGTTATTCTACTTAAGGGGATAGTCCCTGGCTATGGGCCTTTTTTTGGGGTGGGTCATAGTGAAGACCACTGTTACAGCCACAGCCCTCTCTTTATTCTGGAAACTTAACTAACCTTTTATTAATACACTTCACGATGCCCAAGGGCAATAGCTCCCTATTATTTCTAATCTTTCGGTGTCTCATCTTGCTCACCCTTTCGAACATCGTTTTTATTCAATTCTCTTCAACTGCCCTATTTGTTTGTAGCCTTGTGTTTTTGGCTGGTTTAGGAAAAATACCTACATATAACAAACTCATAGAATAGCAAAGTAATGTGTGAAATCTGAGGTTACTAACAGAAGAGAAGATAGTTCTGAGCTGACTCTTACCTGAGCACAATCTTCTGGTTGAAGGTGGTGAGTGGAAAAAGAGGAGCTTCTGACGGAGTGCTGAACACCAGAGAATGCTCTCCTGGTAGAGGAGTGGCTAAGGGGTTATTAGGCTGACAGGCAGAAGTAGTTAGGGGCCATCAGGCAGGCAGGCAGGTGAGTGAGTGGGAGCTAGCAGTCCTGGATTGTTCGAGGACATTCCTCAAGGGGTCCCAGATTGGAGAGGTGCAGGCTGGGCTGAGGGACATGCACACACTATGCACAAATTTTGTGCATCGGGCCTTTAGTTTTTGAATGACCATCTATGGTTTAGGACAAGAATTCTTTTGTTTTAACTTATTAAATATTACCTCATAAATCAATAATACATTAGAGGCTTCACATGTATTAACTGTTGATATTTATGAAATATTTGTCATATTTGGCATCTGGCAGAGTCCTTTTCAGTTGTTTTCTAATTTATTCCCCACTATGATCCTATGAGTAGACAAAAGCATTCTGAGGCTGAGGCTGAGGGAAGACTAGATACTTTACAAGTCTGGCAAGGCAGCAGTGAATCTCAAAGTTACTTCAGACAGATCAGGACAGAGGCTCTTCATCACTGCCCCACACTGCTTCCTGATATGTATAAGGTTTCCGCAGGAAGGCTTTCTCTAGGTTCATCTTCTTCAGGAGCCCACAATGAGGCTGTCAATAAAATTTATATCCACCAATGAATGCATGTATGAATGTATTTTCTGCCTCATTGTGGGGTGAGCACCTGAGCAAAATCTTTACGGAAGCTCAGAACATGAGAGAACTTCAGGAGTGCAGAAAATACTAGTTGGTCTAAATACCAATTTTCATCTCTCTCACATAATAGTTTGACATTTTTAGATCAGAATGTGGATTTTAATTTCAGTTTCCATTCCTATTTGATGGCAGCATGACTACCAGGTGATAGTCAATGGGGGGTGAGCACAAGTGATGCAACCAATTAGGTTGTGCATTTCCTTCCCTCTCCTCCTCTGGATTGGATGCTGATGAGCTTGGGAGCCCTGCATGAGAATGAAGTCACCTCTCTAGGGTTGGGGAGCAGTGATTTGAAAGAGCACAGGTGTCTGTGCCTTGAAATCTCCAGTCAGTTCTAGTAACATCTCTTGCATTTCCTTCTAGGGTTACCAAAATCATCAACTGAAATTCTTAAAAATATTTGTATACAACCCACTTTTAAAACAATGTACATTTAAGGATTTTATGATGAGAGATATTATTTCTCAGAGGTGACATCCAGTAGGGGGTGTTAATAGATCAAATAAATGAGATGTAATAACAAGTTGATCTAATCAGAGTGTGTGAGAAAAAGTACAAAAGAAAAGCAACTTTAAGAAAAATGTATTATCTTCATTTGACGCCAAATTTCATTTCCAGCTTCACTACCCACTGGTGCATCCTGGGAGAACACTTCTGTTTGCTTTACCACTGGATTCCCTTTCCCTCTGGCTCCTTATTGTACTTAGGAAAGGTGACTCTGACAGCTCATTGTAGGGCAGGAGGAGGGTGATTGAGGTTCAACTCCCTGCCTCTCTGCTGTCAGGCTGTGAGTTTGCCATGGTGGTGTTACTCTATCCAAGGGGATAGCCCCAGTATGTGGGCCTTTTTGTGAGTCATAGTGATGACCACCAGTACAGCTACAGCCCTCCCTGCATTCTGGCAACTTACCATTCCCTTTACACTTCAGGATGTGCAATGCCAATAGTTCCCTATTATGACTTATCTCCAGGAACCTCTGTATCCTCTATTGATTTCCCTTATTCCTGCTAACCCTTTATACACAGTCTTTTTATTAGACTCACTTCAATGGCCTTATGTGTTTGTGCCTTGTGTTTTTGGCTGGGATAGGAAAGATACATGCAAAGAACAAACAAATGAGTAAACAAAGTCATAGAACAGCAAGGTAATATGTGAAACCTGAGGTTATTAACAACAATTCATGTTTGAAAACAATGTCTGTGAAGCAGAAAGGACCTGAGTCCCTCACAGCCCAAGCTACCAGCATCCAAAGCTTCCCTGAGGAAGCTTCATTTCTCTGGACTCTCCTTCACGCGTGCACATGGCTCATTGCACGCTCCACCCAAGATGCACTCGTGACCATGTGCACTAAGAGGAAGAAAACAAAACTGCCATTGAAAGAAGATAGTTCTGAGCTGACTCTTACCTGAGCACCATCTTCTGGTTGAAGGTGGTGAGTTGAAAAAGAGGAGTTTCCGAAGGAGTACGGAACACCAGAGAATGCTCTCCTATCCTATGCCCCCATGTGGTAAAAAATGGTCATCCCAATGTGGACACAAGATGCCTAGTACAAGATAGCTAGTAGGGAGGGCACTTGTGGGTGTTCAGGCCTTCAGGGTTGGCAGTTGGGGGGGACCCTGGCCTGCAAGGGAGGGCATTTGGTGGGAACCAGACCAGTATGTGAGGTAGTTAGGGGCAATCTGGCCTTTAGGGGAGGGCCATTGGGAGAGACTAGGCCAGCAGGGGAGTACAGTGGGGGTAATTAGGCCTTCATAGGAGGGATTTTTGGGTGAATAGGCCTGCAGTGGAGGGAAATGGGCAGCAACCATGCCTGCATGGGAAGGCAGTTGGTGGCAACCAGGTCAACAGGGGAGGGCAGTTAGGGGTGACCAGGCCTTCAGAGGAGGGTAACTGGGGGTAACTAGGCCTGCAGGGAAGGGCTGTTGTGGTTAATCAGGCTGGCAGGGGAGGGCAGTTTCCGGTAACTAGGCTGGCAAGGAGGGAAATTAAGGGTGTCTGGGCCAGCAGAGAAGGGTAGTTGTGGGCAAGCAGTCCTGCAGGGGAGAACAGTTAGGGGCAATCAGTCTAGCAGGGGAGCTGTTGGGCATTTATTAGGCTGATAAGGGGTTATCAGGCTGACAGACAGAAGTAGTTAGGGGCAATCAGGTAGGCAGGGAGGTGAGTGGTTGGAAGCCAGCAGTCCTGCTTTGTGAGAGGACATCCCATTGCCCATTTAGGCCCAATTGGGCCTTAATGGGTAGTAGGATATTCCTAGAGGGGTCCCAGATTGAAGAGGGTGCAGGCTGGGCTGAGGGACACACACACACACACACACACACACACACACACACACACACAGCATGCACAAATTTTGTGCATCAAGACTCTAGTTTTTGAATGATTATCTATGGTTTTGAACAGGAATTCTTTTCTTTTAACTTATTAAATATTACCTCATAAGTCAATAATACATTAGAGGCTTCACATGTATTAACTGTTGATATTTATGAAATATTTGTCATATTTGGCACCTGCCCCAGTCCTTTTCATTTGTTTTCTAATTTATTCCCCACTATTATCCTATGAGTAGATAATTTCACAGCATTTTACAATGAATTAACTGAGGCTTGGAGAGGAGAGCTGTAGAACCAGGACTTCACACCTGGATTTGTCTGATTTGGACAGGGATTCTTTTTGTTGCAATGAAGATTGTAAAGAAAAAGCACTCAATAAAGAAATTCAGATCACATGAGAAATTTATTGGTAATATCAAAGACAATGGAGAGGTATAATGTTTGGACGAATCCATTCTCTGAGAAAAACTAGAATGACCAGATAAAAAACAACCAATTTGAAGAGATTGGGCAATCACTTAAGCATTCAGAGGCTGAGGCTGAGGCTGAGAGAAGACTAGATACTTTCCTAGCCTGGCAAGGCAGCAGAGAGTCTCAAAGTTACTTCAGACAAATCAGGACAGAGGCTCTTCATCACTGCCCCAGACTGCTTCCCGACATGTACAGGGTTTCCCCAGGATGGCTTTCTCCAGATTCATCCACTTCAGGAGTGTCCTGCAGAGCCCTCTGGAGAACCAGCCTCAGAGTGTGTCTCTGCTTCTGCCATCACTGCCTGAAGGAGCCAACAAAGAAGTAAATGATGGGGTTGGCACAGCTGTTGACACAGGACAGAAGTTCTACAATCATGCGAACAGGAAAGACTGTAAGATATTCATTTGGTAACCAGATCGTGAGGAACCAGTGGAAGCCAAAGGGCAGGCCACAGAGGAGGAAGACCAGTACAGTGATCATGATGGTCACATAGAGCCTGGTAGGGGGCACCCGTTGGGAGCCACACAACAATCTGGAAATCAGGGCCAGGCTGGACCCAGAGAGCAGCAAAAATAAAAAAATCAGCCATGCCACAATAATGAAATTGAACACTTGACACCAAACACGATGCACACTCGAATGCCTAATGCTACAGTAGTATTCTTTCAGAATGCTCAGCAGCAGGGACAGGGCACAGAGCAGGGCACACATGATAGTGGACATGTGAGTGGGGCGGCGGCAGCGGTACCAGATGGGCCACAAGACAGACATGCAGCGCTCCGTGCTGATGACACTGAGAATGCTCAGGCTTGAGATGTAGGCAAACGTTCCCACAAGCGGGAGAAATCTCATAGTTACTTCCATGATAAAATCTAAGCTGAAAATTGATTCTAAAAGATATATAATAAAGCAGAAGAGGAAGAGGAAGTCGGCCCCCGCCAGGTTGAGGATGTAGACAGAGAAGGTGTTTCTGCGGATGCGGAAGCCCAGCAGCCAGATCACCACTGTGTTCCCTGCCAGCCCCACCAGGGCCACGATGACTGTCAGTACTTCCAGGATTATTTTCCATGTATAATAGTGATAAAATTCCTCATCACTTCCAAAGATTATTGTGAGATTGTTCTCCCAGGCTGTGACATTCATATCCATGTTCAAAAATGCTGCAGTTGTGGGCCTGAAACAAAACAAGACTTGAGTCACAGTCCTCTATGACTACTGACCTTTATGGCCATCCTGTCTGTGGTGAATGGATATTGCAGAGATCATAAATAGAAATTCTTAAAAATATTTGTCTACCAGCACTCTGATAAATAACGTACATTCCATCCTCAAGACAGTTATGATGAGAGATAGTATTTCTAAGATGTGATACCCAGGAGGAGGTGCCAACATTTCAAATAAATAAGATGTAAATGTAAGCCTATTTAATCACAGTGAGAGAGAAAAAGTCCTTAGAAAAAGGACCAATGAAGAAAAATGGATTCTCTTTATTTGATGTCAAATTTCATTTTTCAGCATCTCAATCCTCTTCTGCATCCTGGGAAGACACATCTCTTTGCCTCACCACTGGGATCCCTTTCCCTCTGCCTCCTAATTTCTTTCAGGAAAAGTGACACTGACAGCTGATTGGAGAGCCAGAGGAGGGTGATTGAGATTTAACTCCCTGCATCTTTGCTGACAGGCTGTGAGCTTGCTATAGTGGTGTTACTCTACCGAAGGAGAGAGCCCCTGTCTGTGGGCCTTTTTTTTTTGGGGGGGGGGGGAGGGGTCATAGTCTCCACTGCTACAGCTACAGCCCTCCTTGTATTCTAAAAACTTAACTAACCTTTTACACTTCACAATGCCCAAGGGCAATAGCTCCCTATTATGACTAATCTTTTGGAGTCTCATCTTGCTCATCCTTTCTACACATTGTGTTCATTCAGTTCTCTTCAATTGCCCTATTTGTTTGTAGCCTTGTGTTTTGGCTGGTACAAGAAAGGTATCTATATATAACAAACAAACTCATAGAATAGGAAGGTAATGTGTGAAATCTGAGGTTACTAACATCAATTCAGGTTTGAAAGCAATGTATCTGAAGCACATAGGACCTGGGTTCTCACAGCCTAAGCTACCAGCACCCACAGCTTCCCTGAGGAAGGTTCAGTCTCTGAACTCTCCTTCATGGGTGCTCATGGCTCCTTGCATGTTACACCCCAAGATGCACTCATGACCATGTGGACTAAGAGAGAGAAAACAAAATTGTCTTATAGAGAAGATAGTTCTGAGCTGACTCTTACCTGATCACTGTCTTCTTGTTGAAGGTGGTACACAGAAAAACAGGAGCTTTCCAGGGAATGCTGAACACCAGAGAATGCTCTCCTACCCTGGATAGTAGGTGTCTCCAGAAGTAGGAGTGGAACCTGATGAGCAAAAGAGGCTTATCAAGATGCTGGGCTGCCAATGTGACTTCCTGCACAAGGGGCACTGGCAAGTGAGATTCTGGAGATGTGAGACAAGGGCCTCACGAGATGCTTCACATTTGCCCTGAGTCCAATGTCTTATCTATTCCTCTCCCCATCTTACCCTAACTGGTCCTCCTCCTGTGAGGAATGTTTAAACTGGAGCCTGTCACTGCCCACTGTGGGAGTGTGCAGGAAGCCCACCCAATAGGCAATATGAGCTTCCATAGCTAAAGTGAGTTTCCTTGGCATTCAGTGCCATGCATGATCAAGCTCATGTGACCTGTTTCTATTTATTGCCAGGAGTAATGTATGCACATTAGTTTATTTTAGAGGACAGAAGAGTACCTATATAATAAAGAGATAATATAAAAATTGCCTATCATTCCAGCACACCAGATAGCTTCCCCCATATGGTCAAAGTTGGCTGCTCCCATGTGGACACAGGATGGATGCCACAGATGGCCAGTAGGAGAGGGCAGTTGTGAGCAATCAGACCTGCAGGGAGGACAGGTGGGGGGTACTAGGCCTGCAGAACAGGACAGTTAGAGGAACTAGTCCTGTAGGGTAGGAAAGGTGGGGGAACCAGGCCAGCAGGGGAGAGCAGATAGGTGTGACCAGGTTGGCAATGGAGGGCATTTAAGGGTCACCTGGCCAGCAGGGGAGGACAGTTAGAGGTCACCAGGCCATCAGGGAAGGGAGGTTAGGGGCAATCAGGCCAGCAGGGGAGCAGTTAGGCATGGATCAGTCTGGCAGGGGAATGGTTAGGGGGTGATCAGGCTGGCAGGCAGAAACAGTTAGGGGCAGTTTGGCAGGCAGACAGGCTAGTGGTTGGGAGTCAGTAGTTCTGATTTGTGAGAAGGTTATCTGACTGCTGGTTTAGGCCTGATTCTACAGGGATCGGGCCTAAACCACCAATTGGACATCCTAAAAGGAGTCCCAAAGAAAGATGTGGAGGCTGGGCTGAGGGACAGAACTGCCCCTCTCCCTGTGCTCAAATTTCATGCACCCAACCTCTCTTAGTTTATAATACTCATTTGTATATTGGGAAGTGGCCAACTAAGTAAATCTTAAAATTTCTCATCACAAGAGATTAAAAAAAAAAGTATCTATGTGTGGCAATGGACGTTAACTAGGCATAGTGCAATGATTTTTTACAACATATACAAATACCAAATCATTTTGTTAAACACTTGAAACAAATACAATGTTACATGACAAATGTATCTCAGTAAAGCCTGGCAAAATCATATTCCAAAAGTACATACGCATAGAGAAAATAGTCTCCACTGAGATATTTTCACCCTCAGATGATCATTTATCTGTTACCCCAGCACCATGTGTTTTAGGCTCTGAGGAAAGGGTTATTCTTATGGGATTGGCCGTTCCAAGCAAAACTCTTCCTGAAAAGGGAAGCTGCTCACATGAGGCTCTTTACACAGACCCACAGGGTGTGGAGATGCAGCCATACCCTGCCAGTTTAGGCAGCAAGTATTAACACCTTTATCTCATTAGAAACAGGTCTCTGATCTTCCTATTTTTGGAAGATTTCATAAAAGAGTGGCAGCTGCGTAGGAAGTCCTATGCTGCGCAGTCCATCAGGGGCTTTACAGAGCATGTTTATTACCTCAACTTATCTGGAAGTTTTACACTCTCTGTCTACTTTCCAGTCCATTGACTTAACTACTTAACACATTAATGTAAAATTTAAAGAAATGAGTAGTTGCACCTTTAAAGTGTCCACTTCTAACACACTAATGCAGATTAGGGGAAGGTCTTCTTTCTGAGCTGAGCAGCCCTGACCTTGCCTTTGTGTGAAGAAAAATGTGCCCCTTGCTTCCCAGTAGTCAGAGACCTGCACCTGGATACAAGGTTAACCAGCGGATTGTATGTCGGCCCATTCCCCTGCTCTGCCTTTGTTTGGTGCAGTAGGCAAACCATACAGCTCACCCCTGAAGTTTGCTCTCCTCCTGAACATCAAACACCAAGACCTTAGGAAACTCAACCTCTGTTTCCATCCTCCCAGACTACTGGACTTTAGGACTGGATTTTGACTCAGTTTCTCCCCATAGACATCAAACAGGTATTGTTTTCAATAGTGTTTGTTCAATTGTATTCCCATAATATCCAGTATTTTTGCTCACCTTCATATTTCACATCTCATGACTTCCATTTCTCAAAGCACATTCTTCAGGAGTTTCTTTCATGAGAGTGTGTGGGTAGGAGCCATGGAGGACAGCTCAGGGCCTGTGGAGTTGTCAGACAGGCACTCTGACTGGTGGTCCTGAGGGGTGTCCTGTCTAGAGGAATGTTTGAAGGAGAGCCAGATGGAGACTGGACAGTGTGGCCTGGGAAGGAGGTCCTGTCCTCCTGGAGAGCAGTGGAGGCCTGCCTTCCATACTCTGTGGAATGACTGATTCTCCCCTGCCTTGCAGTGACCTGAGTCAAGGGGGCAAGGCTGTGGGCAGGAAAACCTGGGCCTCTGTGGCTGAGTCTGGCAGCCCAGAAGATTAGAACATTTGGCCTGGTCGGAGCCTGGTAGTAGGCTTTGCCTAGTGAGGGCCAGCAGCACTGGAAAAGTGGATTGCCACTGAGTCAAACAGGCTAGGGCCTTTTGTTTTGTTTTTATGAAAGTTTAATGGTTTCCCTAGGAAGACTTTTTCCAGGTTCATCCAACTCAGGAGTGTCGTGCAGAGCCCTCTGGAGAACCAGCCTCAGGATGTGTCTCTTCTTTCGCCATCGCTGCCTGAATCTAAAAAATATATAGTCTGGCAGCAGCAGAAGAGGAAGTCGGTCCCCACCAGGTTGAGGATGTAGATAGAGAAAGCATTCCTGTGCATGCCGAAGTCCAGGAACCAGAGCACCACCGTGTTCCCTGCCAGCCCCACCAGGGCCACAATGGCTGTCAGTACTTGCAGGATTATGTCCTCTGTATTATGTTGATAAAAGGCCTGATTACTTCTATTGGTTTTTGTGAGTTCAGTCTCCCAGGCTGTGATAGTCATATCCATGCTCAGAAATGCTGCAGTTGTGGGCCTTGAAATAAAACAAGACTTGAGCACCTGCTCTATGACCATTGACCCTGCAATCTCAGTGACAGAAAGTTATCTACTCACTAGGGAGAAAGGAGATTATGACTTAGGCCCATGAAGGCAATGAGACCCCTTGTTAGGACAGAGTTAGGACACCCAAAGCTCTTGCATTAAAAATGTCCCAGTGTGTCAATTTTATAAGGATAGACAGTGATTACTCTTTCCATTGTTGAGTCTCCAGGACCCAAGTCTGTGTGGGTACACAATGGGGCTGTCAATAAAACTTAGATTCACAAATGAATGAATGTATGAATGAACGAATGAGGAGTTCAAGGGATGAAGAAAGTTTGCATTGAATATAATATTAATTTTTTTTTAAATTAAGAATTTTAAATGTAAAACAGAAGTCAGCACTTTTATTTTATTATTTTTACTTATTTATTATTTTTAAAAATATATTTTATTGATTTTCCACTGAGAGAAAGGGAGAGGAATAGAGAGCTAGAAACATCGATGAGAGAGAATCATAGACCAGCTGCCTCCTGCACACCCCCTATGGGGGATGTGCCTGCAACCAATGTACATGACCTTGACCGGAATGGAACCTAGGACCTTTCAGCCCACAGATGATGCTCTATCCACTGAGCCAAACTGGTTTTGGCCAAAGTCAGCACTT